GAGACGCAGACGGGAGCCTGGGGTCTAACCTGCTATTCCTTCTGCAGGCGGGTTCCTCCCTCACCAAGGGGAGGAGGGTCGTGGCCAAGATCAGCTCTTGGACTTGGGTCGGGTAGAAGCTGCTTATAATTTACAAGAGAACCTGCAGCAGGTACTTCCTCCTCGTCATGTGCCACCTCCAAGGCCGTGGAGAGAGACGGAATGTCAGAGGGAAGAGAAGGAAGGGGGCGCTGTGCTCCGCTCAGTCTTCTCAGAGGGACGGAGGGAGGGCCGCTGCCTTCACCTTTCCAAGAGAGCCTCCCCCTCCCTCCCCCCGCCTCCCCCCGGGCAGCGGGTTTGTCAAGAAGAGTGCCCTCCAGGAAGAAGCAGGGAGGTGTGAGCCAGAGCCTGGCTCCGAGTCTTGTCACCCCCACACTTGCTCATCCTCACCCCCTCTCACGAGGCAAAGGAGCAGGGTTAGGAGCAGCCTGGAAGCCACCACACAGCTACTAATGCGGTCACCCTTGCAGTCTAGGCCACGTTTATCGCGATGTTCAGTCGAGGCCACTCCCTAGACTAGGTCTGCGATGCGGGGAGGGCTCTCGGCGTGGTCAGGGAGCTGTGGTCACCCCTCCCCTTCCACTGATGGCCGCCCTCACCCAGGTCCCAGCAGAGCTGCTGAGATGTCAGTCAAGGGAGAGGGGCTGCCGGGTGCTCCTGGTCGAGATAATCTCACAGCCAGGGCGTGGAAAAGGTCGAAGGCCAGAGCGCACTGACCACGTGGCCACAGGAGGAATCGGGGCTCTGCCTCCCCCCAACTTCTGCCTCCCCTCCTCCCGCCCCCCGCCTGCTGGATGCCACCGTCTGTCGGCCTTCAAGTTACACAGGTCACCTGGCTCTGAGCCACCCACCCACCCACAAAGCAGCAGTAGACACACGTTTTCCGGGCCCATGGGGCTCCCGACTCCTCATAAACTCAACTAGCTTATGCCCGCGGGCACATGTGAGCCCGTCAGCTCTCCGGGCCCTGGGTCAGCACCAATCCCAAAGCCCTGGGGCCCCGCGGCTCCACGCACTGCATCTCCTGCCGCCTGGCCGCAAGGGAGGCACGGGAAGGCCGGTCTCACCAGGGGTGTCCTCAGGTTTTGGGGAGGCGAGGCGACCACACCCCAGTGCCCAGAAAGCGGGAGGTATTACAATGAAGACGCAGGGGGTGGCCCAGGGGCAGGCGGCGAGGGCCTGGGGTGGCGGGGGACAGGTGCGTGAGGTATTTTTCGCCGGCCCTGCTTCCGAACGGGGCTGGTTCCTGTGGCACCGTCACCCTGTGCCCTCCGGGGGCCGCAGGGAAGGGGGCCTGTCCCTGGTGGGGCTCCCCCGTGAGCCGTCCTGGTGGGGGCACCTCACTGCTCTCCAGGCACAGCGGACCCCGTGCGCATAGCCGATGCGCGTCGAGGTGGACTCCGCGGCGGCGCTGTGTCCACTGGCCACTCGGGGCAGAAAGGTCAGTGCCGGTCCTGGTTCGACGACCAGGGTCAGACGGACTGTTCCCAACGACTGTTCCTGTGAGCGGAGCCGGCGGGACGCGGCGGGCCCTGCTCAAAGGCTCTCTCCTCGACGACCTGAGGCCAGTGGCTGTGGTCCCGGGTCAGGCACCTGGCAGAGGCAGTTGGCATTGCTGATGGCACGTGGGCACTGCAGAGACGAGCCCTTTGGGGGATGTGGGTGAGGGGGTGAGCACAGCGTCCTGGGCAGGGAGCGCCGGGCACGCTGCCCCTGACCTCAAGGCGTCCGTGTGAGTCCCAGCTCGGATGCTCACAGCGGGTGGGGAGCCAGGCGCGGTCCACCGGGCCACCGGCTCTTCCTCCTCAGCCGTCGTGAGATGCTGGGGCACCTGATGCGGTGGGGCTGGGGGCCTTGCTCCAGCCGCCGGGCGGGTGATGGGAGCCGCCCGGGGCTCCCAGGAGGGGCAGTGGCCGGCGGCAGCGACGGGAGGGAAGGGAGTCACTGGTGGCCCCGGGTGCAGGGCTGTTTAAGGACGACGGCTCCTCACACGGACACGTCAGGAGCCGTCGCTACGGCACACACAGGTTAGTCGAGGTTATGAATGTCCCCAGGGAGGGGGGCGTCATGTCAGGCAAGCTGATGACCGGATGGAGCGCTCAGCTGCCCGAGTCGCCCCGAGAGCCGGTGGGGCAGTGAAGGGCGGCGGAGGGGGCGGGCGAGGCGGGCACTCGGGCGCCGGGCCGATGCGTCTTCTCCCCGCAGGAGGCAGGAGGCAGCCGGGCCCTCAGGACTGCGGGATCTGCTGGCAGCGCGTGGGGCTGGGCGGGAGCCTGGCGGCGGCGCTCTGCTCGGTGCGGAAGCTGTACTCGTACTGCGGAGGGACGGACAGAGAGCAGTCAGTGTGGGGCACCCGGGCGGCCACTCCACGCCTCGGCCGGGCCCTCGCCGAGCCCTGTGCGTGCACACGGCTGTGGGTGCGAGCGTGTGCCTGCAGACCCGCCCGTGGGGCTGCAGTGCCTGCTGGTCTCTGAGGGCTGGTACCTCTCCCAGTCCCTGCCCCACGCCCGCAAGGTGAGACCTCCGCACCGGCAGCGCCTGAGCCACGACGCCAGCGGCAAACGCGCCAGCTGACCGCGTGCCAGGCTGCACGCCCGGCGCCCTCCGCCTCCCACCCCCCGCAGACGGTCCTACTGGACGGAGTCCCACACTGGCAAGGGCAGATCTGGGTTCCGTCCCAAGCCTGACCAAGGGCAGTGCAGCCCCCAGGCCCAGGGGACCCCCACTTGCCGCTCCGAGTACGTGCCCCTCGAGCACTGCTGGTGATGACACACCCTGCCCGTGCCCCCTCCCTGCGGGTGTGCGAGTGGCCTCATGAGCTGCCGAGGACCCGGTAGGGCTGCACCCACTGGCCCCCGAGCGCACCCAGCAGATCCTGGGCCGAGGGCAGCGCCTTTTCTGTGGGGCCAGGGGACCTGAGGGTCACCTTGACGGCCAGGTGCTCCTACAGGTTTTGGGAATGAGGAGCTTACACTGGGTCAGTGGTTGTTAAGCGTTTAAATACGATTTGAAACCTTTTCAGCAGCTGGAATCACCATAAAAGGGCTCGCCTACTTAAAGCAGCGCCCGCCGCCGCCTCTGCGGGGACACGGGGTGCCATGGAGCCATGGCAGCAGGGGGGCATCCCCCGGGCACCCCCACAGGGAGGGCTCCAGACGCCCTGCTCCCGCCAGGCACCTGGCAGAGCCTGCCCAGCACCCCTGCCCCGAGGCACTTCTGGGGCCACACCTAGCGAGAGCAGCGGGAAGTTGAAAGGTTTCAGGTTTGATAGTGTCCTCAACCCCCCTGCCTGGCAGTCCCACAGCACTGACCCAGGACAGACAGACAGACAGACACAGATGTGCGCTGGGGCTGTGGGAGGCCTGGCTGACCGTCCCTGTGCGAAGGTGGAGGTGCGCAGCCCCGCGGAGCCACAGGCCCCGGTGGGGGAAGGATGGGGTCCCTGCAGACAGCCTGTCTCCGAGGGCGGAGAGGCGCTCACGTCGCAGGGCACCTCGGGCAGGTCTCTGCTCCTCTCGGAACCTCGGCAGTGGGGTCACCAGGAAGTGACAAGGGTTGGTGAGGACGCGGAGAAAAGGGAACCCGCGTGCATTGTTGGGAATGTCAACTGGTGCCGCCGCAAGGAAAGCAGTATGGAGACTCTTTAAAAACTAAAAATAGAACCACCATGTGACCCAGCAGTCCCACTGCCGGGTCTGATCCCAAGGAAGTGAAAAGACAAACCTGAGGAGCTGCCTGCACCCACGCAGCTCACTCACCGTAGCCGGGCAGAGCACACCCCTCACCCCTCACCGGCTCATGGACAGAGGAAGCGTGGCACACAGTACAGCTGCTCGTACGGGAAAGACGTGCGGGTTATGACTGTTACAGCAGCTTTAGTAACTCAACAGAACGTCACAAGGCAACGGCAAGCTTTTGCCCAGCCCTGTATGTACACAGTGGAATATTATTCAGCCTGAGAAGAATGAAGTCTTGCTGTTTGTGACGCATTATGCTAAGTGAAATAAGTCAGACGGAGGAAAAGTACCACATGATCTCACTTACGTGTGGAATCTAAAAAACAAGACACAAAAACCCCCAAGCAAGTCAGAGAGCAGATTGGTGGTGGTGGGGAGGGGGGGGGGGGTGGAGTCAAAAGGTACAAACTTCCGGTTCTAAGAAGTCCCCGGGAAGTGGAGGGCAGCGTGGTGGCGATGGCGATGGCTGATCCTGTTCTGTATATTTGAAAGCTGCTAAGAGTAAATCTTAGAAGTTCTCATACGGGAAAAAGATTCTGTAACTATGGTGATGGATGTTAACGGGACTGACCACTCTGAGATACATACAAACAGTGAAGCCTTAGGTTGTACCTCTGAAGTGAATACAATGTTTTATGTCAATTATACCTCAATGGAGTGGAGTCACAATCTGCCCTCCCAGGGCTGCTGTGCGGGTGGGATGAGGTTTGTGCCTTTGACCCTCCCCTGGCCTCCGGGTACGTCTGTTGGTGACCAGCCCGGTCACTCTTCTGCTCTCTAGGGACCAGGGACCAGGCCAGGACCTTCGGGTTCAGCTCCCAGGCGGCTGGCAGACCTGCAGCAGGAGGCAGTGGACTCCAGGCGAAGTCTGGGACAACACCGCCACCTGGTGGCTGCTCAGGTGCATCACAGCAGTAAGTGTTCCCCCCTGGGCTGCCTTAGCTAATCCCCCACATCCACCCAGTGCTGGGCGCTGGGGGCCAGCAGAGGGCCCCGCAGCAGCCGGGCCATTGACCCAAGTGAGCGCACAGCAGACAAGGCCAGGGAGACTGCCAGTGGCCAAGGAGCACTCTGGGGAGACGTGGAACTAGGGGTGAGGGGGGAAGTGGGAGCACTTGGGGGCCGGGTAGCTGGACTCAGGTGTGAAGATGTTTCAAGGTGGAGAGAGAAGAGGCCGGGCCCAGCACTTGGGATGAGGACCCAGAGGTTGAGGGGGTGCAGGAGGCTGGGGGCTTCACTTCGGCTGCTCTGAGACCAGCTGGGAGACGCCTGCCTGGGGGGCTGCAGGGGCGAGGCACCTCTCAAATGAGGAGGGCGCCAGCGCCAGTGGCCAGGCCCTCGGCTGCGTCACACCTCCTTCGGGAGGCTTTTCGGGGTCCCGCTGGGCAGGCTCTGTGCCGGCTCCGGCTCCGGGATGGTGGGGACACAGGGGCGGTCAGGCCTGCATCTGTGGGGGCTGCTCAGCACAGAGAGCCCATGAAGGGCGGTGGAGGCAGAGGCAGTAGCTCCCAGATGTCCAGAGCCAGAGGCCTGAGCCCTCTGCTGACTGGGTGCCAGCAGGGGTGGCCCCAGAAAAGGTGGGGGCCAGAGCGGGATCGAGACACTTCCCAGCCTGGGCAAGCAAGTGCTGGCCGGGGCTTAGGGAGTCCTGAGGCCAGTCTTTGTGGCCAGGAGTAGGGGCAGGGTCCCTAGGAAGGAGGCACAGATGGGCCTTCAGGGATGAACTGCTAAATCCTCCTCCTCTCATGTCTGGGGCAGGGGCAGGGGCAGGGGGAGCACACACAGCCCAAGTACACAGCCCTCCCCGCACCCCCCGCCTGGGTCCGGGCGCAGCACAGATTGCTGTCCCCCACCTCTGCCCTTGGGACTTTCCCTTTTTAGGTTATATTGGCTGGAGAGAAAGGAGACTCCCCCCTTGTTTTCTCTAACTCCCCAAATGAAATGTCAACATATGTCCCCTGACATAATCCCCCTTAGGCTGCGGATACCCTCCCCACAGACGCTGTCCTCGGGGACTGCGGCCCCAAGTGTTTGCCCAAGAGACTAGGCCGCCTCTGGGAGCCGCTCTCTCCCCGGGCAAACAGCGAGCACCTTTGAAGGTGGATTTGGGCCCAGATCTGTTTACTCAAGACATTAGTCTCCCACATAAGGAAAACCTGCACTCGCCTACAAACAGCAAATCCTTTTTGAATTAAAAAAATTTTCAATTAAAAAGAATTTGGGTTTGCAGAGCCAGCTCAGCCGAGCGGCGCCAGGCCTTGGCGCCCTCTGGTGGGCACAGGCCGCTATCGCAGCAGCAGCAGCAGCAGGGCCTGGGCGGCCTCTCCAGGAAAGAGACATCACTGTCAGGGCCCCGCCTGGGGCTTCCCAGGGGCCTGGGGCCCTGCAACGGAGCATCAGACCTCGGAGCCACCACGCACCACTCCTCACCTTCCTCAGGCTGTTGTCCTGTTGTTGCCGCGAGGCGGCCATCCTGGCAGTGGGAGGTGCAGACCACAGCTTCCAGGGCACCTGGAGCCGGCGTTTCACTGCCGGCCTCCCGGGCAAAAGGGGGGGCCCTTTCCCCCCCCCCCCCCCCCCCCGCCCACTCACAGGTGCGGCGATGATTCGTGTGGAGTGCGTCCTCCGGTGCCTCAGGACCAAAGGCTTAGCCAGCACCAGGGCGCTGTGCCTGGCCGGGGTGGGGCAGGCACCAGCATTTGCCTGAAAACATTTACCAGGTGCCCCAGAAAAAGGCACATCCCCCCACTTCCCTCCCTGGGTCCAGCTGTCAGTCAGAGCTCCCGACCAGAAAGGGGGGCGCTCGGGGTGTTTGCAGCTGTGGAAGCTGCGGGGAAGCGCCGCCCTGCACAGGGTCGCAGACCGAGCAGAGGCAGGGGGACAGGCCCAGCAGCTGGCATCGGGCACGTGTCTGCACCCCCTTCCTCATGGGATGCAATTCGGAGGTGGGGGTAGAACAACTGATGGGCTCCAACATGAGGGCACTTCGGTGAGAGCGAGGGGCCTGGAGGGCCCGGCCGGGGAGCACAGGTGGAGGGGAGGTAACGGGGCAAGACTCAGGCCAAGGAGAGGAGTCAGGTGCAGGGTCGGCCAGTGAAGGGCGGGCTCCGGGAGGCATGGAGGGTCCCTGCACAGTCAGAGGGGGGTGGGCAGGGCTCTGAGCAGCGGCCCGCCTCTCCCAAGCCTGCCCTGCCTGGCACCTGCCTTGGCTGCACAGCCCAGGCCCCGACCTGCTGTGCTCACCGCCCACGGTCAGCCCCTCGGGCGATGGGCAGTGTCCTCTCCTCACTCCTCTGGAAGCCTGGCTGCGGGGACTCAGCCCGGGGCAGGTGGCCTGGGGAGCCGGCCTCCTCCGGCCTGTCCTGTGGGCTCCTGCCCTGCGGGAGGCCTGTTCGTACCTGGACTGCGTCACCACAGGGACATCGCAAAACCTGGGAGAGGGGACGCCTCGGGGCTGGACACTGCAGAGGCTCGGGCTGCGGGGAAGCCAGGCCTGCCCTCCCCTCCCTGGGGGAGGTCCCAGAATTCCCCAGAGCAGGGAGCACGCCTGGCACCTCCCTCGAGGAAGGGCCGCCGC